CCAGTGCAAGGAGAGTCCTGCATGGGGCTGGCCCTTTGCGCCGCTCGCAGTGCGGGTGTATCATCCCGGGCCTGCGCCGTGGTATGGGACCTGTAGGCCTGTCGAGTAGGGGGCGATTTTAAAACGTTTGCCTTTTCATCAAGAGATTCCTTCTGGAACAAGCGCCCGGTACGGACACGTCAGCTGGCATCAGAGCGCTTGTGGCCTGGCCTAGCCTCCCCCCTCCTGTGTAGGAAGAGCTGGACTGGGGAAAGTGCCCTTCTAACGGTGTCGCGGTCTTGGGGTGATACCGCTTGAATTGTGACGGTGTTGTTAACACAGTGTCCGAGCGCCTCCCCATCTTGCATGTCTTCATCCTCATGAAGCACCTCTCTGTGGCAGGGCAGCGCTGTCCTCCCCACGGTACAGGTGGGAAACTGAGGCAGAGAGAGGCTAAGTGACTTGCCCAAGGCCGTGGAGGAATTCTGTGGCAGAGCTGGGATTTGACCCCAACATTCCCAAATCCCAGGCTGGTGCCATGACCCCAGGATCTTCCTTGCCCTTGACTACTGGCTTTTGGGTCTGTGCGGTGAATGGGCCAGGGAACCAAGCAGGAGGTATCTGGGGAGGACTGGGTTGGGTGCAGGGAGCTGGGCCCAGCTGGAAATGCACAGACTGAGAGGCCACAGCACCAGGCTGCTTAATTCAGCTCTGCTGTTCCCGGGAAGGGGGCTTCTGGTCCCCGTCCCCCCACGGCTGCCACTGCTGTTTGGCAGCAGCCCGGCCCAGAGCCGAATTCGGCCGATGGACGGGACCACAGTGTCCTCTTCTGGCTCTGGCTCAGGGCCCGATTCCCAGCAGCAGAGCAGGGGCCCGCCCTGTCGCCTCCTCCAGCCCCCTCAGCCCTCCGTAGGATCGGGGAGTCTGCCACAGCTGAAGTTTTCTGGGCCCCCCAGTAGCCGGGCCCCAGGGTTCCTCGGCTGGCCCCCCCTTCCCTGCAGAGAAGGAGACAGCAGCTGCTCCGTTGGCTGTAACTCCTACTGGTCGGAGACTCGGAAGTGGCCTGGGCTGGCAGCTGGTGTCGGTGAGAAAAGCAGCTTCTGACCTTTCGCCTGGCTGAGCCTTTATCAGCCTCCCCGGGGAGCTGCGGGTTTTATGGCTCCTGTGTAACACCTAGGCAGTGATGTCTGCTGGCCCCCTGCTCGGGAGTGGACCGCGTTCCCTGGCCTCAGAAGCCTCATTAGCCGCCAGCCAGGGGTAAATGACACTGGTGGAGGCGGGAGAGTGGCGTTCAAAGGATCAGCGCCCTGGCTGCCAGTCCTTGCTCTGCCACAGACTCCCTTTGGGACTTGGGCAAGTCACTTAGCCTCCCCGTGCCTCAGTCTGCCCATCTGTACAATGGCAAGAATAGCCACCCGTCCTCGGTGGCTGGGAGGTGTGAACTCTTCTTATTTGTATTATAGTCCTAAGAACAGCCAGGCTGGGTCAGCCCAATAATCCATCTGGCCCCGTGTCCTGTCTGCCCACAGTGGGCAGTGCCAGGTGCAACTGAATCCCCAGTGGGCACCGGCGGGGGGATGTATCCTAGATTCACAGAATCCCAGGGCGGGCAGAGACCTCAGGCAGCATCGAGTCCAGCCCCCTGCCCAAAGCAGGACCAGCCCTATCTTGGGGGGTGGGAATTCTGGGCTCCAAAAATAGTTTTGTTGGCCCTCAGTGGCCTCTGTCGGTGCCTGGTGGAGCTGCTGCTCTTCTCGGATCCTGCTTCCCCACCAGACCTGGGCTCACCCTGCAAAGAGGCAGGGGCTCCGGGCTGGCGCTGGGTGCTGACATGGGGGAGCAGAGCGCCAGCTTGGGAACGCTCAGCAGCCCGGGGCCCGTGTCTCTGCCGTTGGGTTCAAAGCTGTGTCCCCCACGGCCATGAACGCTGCCCCTGGGCCCACCAGGCTACAGCCCAGTCCCTCGGCCGTGCAGCTGGCTCAGAGCCAGGAGACGTGGCTTGTGCTCTCTGGTGCGCTCCATGGTGTCCAGCGTGTGTCTGTCATGGGAGGCTGCGGGGGCCCTGACGCACAGAGCAGACAGTCCCCGCCCGGAACAGCTAACAGGAGCACCACCAGTCAGGATGCTGGAGGTGAAATGAGGGATAGACACCGGGAGGGATTACCAGGATAAGGCTATTAAGGGTGCAGCATGCTGGTTCCTAGCTAGCGGCAGTAGTAAGCTATTCCCTAAGCGGGTCACAGGATTTTCCCATTAGAACGCTTTTGACAGGAAACTGGGATTTCAGCTATAAATAAAAGCTTTTTTGATGACGAGTGTGTCCACTTGCCACATGCAGAAATTAAACACCAACGCCCCCAAGCCGGAACATTTCTGTTATTTTCTAGCTTGGCAACACACCCGAGTGTGCCACAGAACAGTTCAGCACGAGCAGGGAGAATTGGGGTTGGCTGGAATTTGCCACGGTACGAAGTTGGGAGCAGCGTGGCTGTTCTCGGCATGTCTCGTTTCTCTTCCGCGCAGTGTCCGGGACCTCCTGGTCGTGCGCTAAGCACAGCGACTCGCGGCGGTCACCAGTGGCTCGTTCTCTCGGCCGCTTCCGGGTTGGTTCATTTTTGCTCCACCCGGGTTGTGGGCCGGTCGTTAAGGGAGGGCCTGATGCGTTTGCAGCAAGATGGCACAGCGGTGGTTTCGCTCGTCAACGTCTCCGTATTTCACGCCTGTCGGGGACCCTCCTGGCCCTCTCCTCTGGCAGGTGTGTGGCAGGAACGG